CATACTGAATGAAGGATAATATACAGAAGAAGACAGAATCATTTGCTGGTCTATGGGTTGTTTCACTTTTGATCTGCCAAACTTCAAGAGGTCCGCAATCGCTTCGTTTTTCTTTTACAGGGTGTTGATATTAAAAAAAATTATCTTTTTTTCATTATTCGAAATTTATTTGGGATTTTCTCTCCTCGTTTCTATAAAATGAAAATATAAATATTATTTCAATATACGTGTAGTAAGGACAAATCAGATGATTATTCCCAAATTGTCACTGCGTTTAGAGAATTTTTCTATCAGAGAGCCTAAAAGGAAAATTCACTAGCTTGTCAGTGACAATTTGTATTAAAAAAAGTTTGGAGAAGAGAAATAAAATTTTCGTGTGACAATTGGTGACGTTGGCAATCAAATGAGTTACAGGATGTCTTCATGAATTAATCTTCAATTCACCATTTTCATGTTCAGATTTCAGTAGTGAATACCATGTTCTATATCAACTGAACAAGAAGCAATGCTATTGCCTTCGTTCAGAAGAATGCAAGCAGATTCCTTGATTTTTCTCTTCTGGTTGTTATCTTCTTTTCCAATGATTTCAATATTATTCCACTCTGCCATATATTGTCCATCTTAATATACTCTGCCATATAATGTCCATCTTAATAATATTGAAATCATTGGAAAAAAAGATAACAACCAGAAGAGAAAAATCAAGGAATCTGCTTACACTCTTCTGAACGAAGGCAATAGCATTGCTTCTTGTTCAGTTGATATAGACAGAACATGGTATTCACTACTGAAATCTGAACATGAAAATGGTTAATTCAAGATTGAATAATGAGAACATCCTGTAACTCATTTCATTGCCAACGTCACCAATTGTCACTGAGAACTGAGAAGTTTCAAGACAGATACGATATTGCTATTAAAATGACCATTTTTTATGATGAAAACGGAAGCAGATTTGGTCCCGAAACGTCCAAAGATAAGTGAAAATTTGATATTCCTTCTATTAAACTCTATTTCTCTTCTCCAAACTTTTCTCAATACGAATTGTCACTGACAAGCAAGTAAATTTTTCATTTATGCTCTCTGATAGGAAAATTCTTTTAACGCAGTGACATTTTGGGGCGAATCATCTGATTTGTCCTTACTACACATATATTGAAATAATATTCATATTTTTATTTTATAGAAACGAAATGAGAAAATTCCAGGAATAATGAATGTTCCACCTCCTCGATTAACCTACAGACAGTATCCAATCTTTATTTCATGAATATTCCAAAAACCCTCATCCCGATTACTTTGAAACTTGGTTGGAAATCTTTTGAAGTAATTCAATCCGCCTCTCAATCCTGTGGTTTACATATTTGTAATCCATTTTAATACACTATCATTGCAGAATTGAACTGAAACTGTTATCAATCAAGAACTTCTGAATAATACATATCGAGGTTGAACGAAAAATGGATTGTTCGAATAGCAGAATGATGATGGACATAATAAAATGAAGAAAATGCATCTAGTGTGTTTTTCATCAACGATAGAATATTCGAAACATTTACTCACCTTGTATAATGATTCTCGAGAGTAATTCAATAGTTTCATGAATGATGGTCAAACATATAAACCCCTGGTATAGCGAAATCTAGAAGTTGAAACATTTTCTAAAAGAAAAGCTCCCATTCCAATGTGCTAGAAAGTATATAATAATTTATTTGGATGTTTGACGTAGGTTATTCTGTAAGTTACTAATTCAAAAGCTTGCCGCGCCATGTTATTTGTTGGAATAGGTACAGGAGCGGCAAGCTTTTGAATATGTCACTCACAGAATGAGCTACGTTACACATCCAAAGAAATTATTTTTCACTTCTTGGCGCATTTCAATAAGAGCTTGTATGTGAGAAGTATTTTTCTCCGACCCCAAAAACTTCCACATACCAATATTGAATCGAATCGGATCATAATCAGGAATCTCCTCTGCCATCTTGGAGCCGCCATTTTGAATATATGAACTTTGACAACAAATTCATAATTTCCGACCCCGAAAACCCCGACATACTTATTTTGAATTGAATCAGACAATAACCACATGTCTAGTCGCCATTTTGAATTCATAATAATTTCATTATATTCGAACTTTGGAGACCCTAAGATACTAATTTTAAATCAAATCGGAATATAATCACAAACCACGTCCGCCATCTTGGAGCGGAATCTTGGATTTATGAATTCTGACAACAAATTCATGAATTACGATCCCAGATACTGATTTTGATTCGAATCGGATCATAATCTTAAATCACGTTCGCCATCTTAGAGACGCCATTTTGAATTCATACATTTTGAAAACAAATTTATAATCTTCGACCTCGTGAATCCCACACACTTATTTCGAATCCAATTAAACAATAACTACAAATCTCGTCGCCATATTGGAGCTGCCATTTTGAATTCATGAATTTCGACAATAAATTCATATTCTCGACACCGTACATCCCAAAATCAATTTTGAATCGAATTGATAACAAATCTCTCTGCCACAAATATTATAACCGAATTATTTTTGTTACTGTTCATTCCACTACGAATCCAGAAAAAGCAGCAACATTCCAGCAGGCAAATTTTCACATAATACTTGATAAGTAATCTCTCAGTTTATATGGAGAATTTTCCATTAACGATACAATATTCGAAAAATCGAAATCATTATTCTAAACAGAATTCGAATATCCAGGCATGGTGATTAGGATTTGATCATATTGATTGTTGAACGTTCACGAGAAATAATTTGATGAAAGGGAGAATAAAAAATCAATTCAGGGATTTACAGCCTCACTTGTGGGTCGTACCTATGCATCATTTTCCTATGAATGCAAACATTTTCAAAAATCTCTGAATACATCGTTATGAACAATATAACCATGTTCCTAGCCACTGAGTGCTAAAAAAAATATCCATAATAAGCCAGGGCAAAAACTAGAAGATGAAAGGTACTCACCTGTTCATGAAGAACCTATAATTCCAATATTAATGAATTGATTCCAACTTACCTCCTTTCGCATCATATAACGCCTTTGCCATATCTACGATTTTCCTACTCTTCTCCATTTTCCGAAATCTCTCAAAACTGAACAAGTCAATAAATTAAACAGATCAGTTCGTCAGCGGAGGTCATAAAGTACTGAGACTGAGAGTTTCACCAGAAGCGAAATCAGCGCCCGCGGGAGATATCGGAACTAAAACCATATATTTGGTGATATTCGTTGGTCGGAGTGACCTCCACCGTTAAATTTGAAGATAGACTGGGACAACCATTCTAATTGCTTCTGCTAAAAAAACTACACGATACGTTGTGACCTCCGCTTTCGGAGGTGATAACGTCATATATGAGGTCTTAACGTACACTCAACATACATTTTAGGAGGTCACTTCGTATAGGATATAGGTATATATATATATATATATATATATATATATATATATAGTAGATATGATCTAATTTGCATTTCAGAGTATTGGTTAATAGATTTTGAGATAGTAAATATGCAGTTGTATGGTTATTCCTTGTTGACATCTTTTTGTTGGATTGGTAAAGAACACGGGGGGGGGGGTGCAATTTTTGGAAACAACAAAATAAAGATTAAACCTATAGATCTATCCAACATGACATGTGATATTGAGGGGCGTCTAAGCGATTTTAATGAATTTCTAGACAATTTTGAAAACTTATTTCTGTATTGCTCAGAAAATTTTCACTGGATTATAATAATAATAATAATAATCGTTCTTTATTGAATTGAATACATATGATATAACATATAAGTACAATCATTACTATTCAATTCTACCGGCTATCGACCTAGGTCCTTCAGCCTTATGGATTATAATTTTTGGGGATTTTAATATTGATTTGAAAGATTCTTCCAATGAAATCAGTACATTCAAGGATTTCATTCTTCAATTTGGTTTATGATCTGTAGTAATGATTATTCAAGAGTCACTGCAACATCTAGGACTTGCTTAGATAATATCATCACAAATATTGATGAACAATTTTTATTTTTCATATACATATATCTATATATTTATGTTCTTATCCATTTCTTGTATGTTCTATTTTATTTTACTTTATTCAGACACTATTTCTGTTAAACAATGTGATACCTTTGTTAACAATGTTTTAATGAAATAAAGAAGCTATTATTATTATTATTATTATTATTATTGTCTGGGGTCACTACGCCAGGTATAGCAGACCATAGAGCACTATACATATCTCTATTGTAATAAACCACAAGCAGACTATACATAAAACAGTCTCAAAAAGATATATAACTAATAAAGGCATTTCCTGAGGCATTTCATTAATAAATGAATCATTGCAAAACATTGATTGGTCAATGTGTCTACTCAATATTTCTTGTTGAAACATTACAGTCTCTAACATCTTCCTATTAAAAAAAATTAAGATAAAAATAATAGACCCAGTCAATGGTTTGATGATGATTTAAAAAATATGAGACACTATAATATAAGTGGGTAAGCTTTTACTATGAAGAATAGTCTAGATGTGAAACTTTATAATCATTTATCAGAAAAATTTAAGGTCTTGAAATATCAATTCACAACACATTGTTTTTGTTCTGACCAGGAATATCAAGATAATGCAGAAATCTTTTGTAATAGTGACCAGTCAAAAAACATGGGTAAATTGATGGAAGTACTCTAATCTCACAATGGACAGTATTCTTTCAAAGGAAAAAGGAAATCTAAGGCATATGACCTTGAATGATAAAAAACTCACCTATTATCACTGTTCATTATTCATTATAATACTGAATACTAATTGTACTCTTTTTTATTTTCAAAATCTGGTCACCCTTCCATTAGGTATGTATTCAAAATACTGGTGGCAGGACTATGATATATGAGTGTGTATATAAATAATGAATAAATATTAAATCTATCATAATATAATCTAATAGGTTATATTGAGTACTCACACTGCTTTTGAGAGCCAAAAGATTACTAATCCTCTTCAGAACATTTGGTAAACTACGTCCTTCATTGACATCAACAGCATAAACATTGGCAGATGATTCTTTTCCAGAGAATGTTAAATCTGTTGGAGAATCAACAGCCCAGTTAGGTAAAGAATCTGAAATGGCATTATCGGCATCATCAGAAATGTTTTCCTCTGGAATAGCATTCTTTTTTTTGAAGAAACTAGTGAGGAATTGTCCAACACTTTGTGGTTTAGCATCCTCTGATTGTAAAGGTGCAAATTCAGTAAGTTTTGTTGCCGATTGCAAGTTTTTACTCATTTCAGATGAAACATGAATGATAATTATTGAGCAAAATATTATAACTTTCCAGGCTTTTTCGGATCATATAACTAAAATAACTCTATATTTTGAACATGAACAGTGAACATTGTTATTGTTTTCAATTCAAACATCACCACCAGCAGTATTGTTCCTGGGTCTGATTTTTTCGTAATAGATTTCCTTGGAAAAAAGTAACAGGTTCATATTAAAAGGTAATAGACTCGAAAAATCTGACATTTGACATTCTGAATGTCATTCTTGTCAAACCCTATCGCACAAATAAGACAGTTTTGACAGGAATGATGCAGAAGTCACACAGAACTTATGACATGAATATAGAACAAAGACCCATAGAGCAGAACATATTCATCCGCTGAACACAGAAATAGATTTTTCAGTAACGAAAAATCATATTTTGGTGCTAACAGCAAAAAGTAATAGATTCATGACAAATCGTAATATCGTAACAATCTCCGTGAAATAGTAATACATCTATTACAAAAGTAATGACAAGAGCAACACTAACCACCAGTGTTGCCAGACTATCAACTCAAAGTGTACTAAACATTCACCGAAAAAAGTACTATACCTTTTCAACTTCAATTTCGGAAAAAGTAATCTCGATTTCAGAATTGGTCAGTTCGATTTCAGAAATAGTAAACTCAATTTCAGAATCGGTGAGATGGATTTCAGAGAAAGTCCATTCAATTTCAGAAATGGTAAGTTGTATTTCAGAATTGGTAGGTTGAATTTCAGAAGATGAATCCTTATATATGTTTGAAATGTTTTCAATAGCAAGAGAGAAAATTGTTTACAGTGAATGGAACGGTGTTCTGGATAATGCAAGGTACTAGGTCTGGCAACGCTGATCTCCACTACTCGCACTAAACTCAGTGACATAGCGAATTCCATTGGCAGGAACTGGTGAAGTTTTGTTCCACTGAGTGTATATTTACCTCTGATTCAATATTACTCGCGAGTAAGAGGGAAACATATAAATTGAGTGCTCATTGAGTGCAGAAACATTTCACCAGTTCCTACCAATGGTATTCACTATTAAATGGGGACAGTGACAGTGTTGCTGAAAGAAAAAAAATAATTAGGCATATGCGGCTGACGTCTCAGCCTGCAAGGTCATTTGCTTGGAAGGTAAACAATTCATGGCCGTATATGCTATTAGTATGTGTTTTGATTTGTCTTTCAACTTAAATTGCAGTTTCAATGAAATTTTGACGATCACAAGATAGAAACAGTTTAGCCAAGAAAAGGAGAACTGCAGGGAAATTCTATTTCACGAATCGAGTGGAATCAGCCATCTTTATTCAATATTTGGTATTCTGTTTCTCGAATGAATCGTGTAAACTCTACTCGATTCCTCGATAGCTCAAGGCGAGTCATGTCGTTACCACCGATACAACAAGGCCTGCATGCTCCGTGGGTGACGTCACTTAGTGAGGCCTAACCAGCGGCTCGAAACGACAAGCGCTTATAGCGCTATAAGGCGACCGCGTATTTCGATTCAAGTTTAAGATCATAATTGAGCCGATTTTGCTGTTTTTTGAAGGGCTTCCGGTTAAAAAAGGACGCCAGTCGTCAACTGAGCCCTTCTTCGCACCCCATTCGATTTTATTATGGAAAAACGAAGTTTTAAAGCAAAAACCAGGATAAAACACAAATATCCACCTACAGCAACCTATTCGAATCAAATATATTGACAAAAAATGTGGTGAAGTTAAACTTCACACCTACTTATACAGGGCCCGCAGAACATAAACTTATCGTGAGATTGATCGAAAGGAAGTTGTGGAAAATGTATTCTATTTTGGTTGACATGCCGTTTGTTACAATTACCTATTTTTATCTTGGAGAATTCCTATTACCTGAAAAAATAACCAGTGAGTATGTTTTCAATTTTCTGTTGTTTAATTTTTCACTCAAGTGGATCGTTACACTTGAAACCGTAATTTTCAAGGGTAAAACTGCATTTATCATGCGATAATTTTTTTTTGGAAATTTTTTTCGGTACTCACGTATTTTTGTCTGATAAACCGAATTTTATAATGAAAATGTGAACAAACCACTATTTATTGAGATGTTTCAAGAAGAAATTCGAAATTTCACCTTCTTTCTCCCCTTGTGTTGGGGCATTTGAAGCTACTTGCTCTTATTTTGTCATTGGACACTTCATATACTCATGACGTACTTCGATGGCACATTTTTATATAGAAAATTCAACAGGAAATATGATTTTTATAGCGAGTTTTTCATATTTAGTGAACAAGCATTCCAGATGACGACCATTTAATCAATAGTCAATCAAAATACGAGATGTCAAATGTCAATAGATTGCTTTCGAATGACATTACACACGCCATTATTTTGAATGATATTCTTCCTTCTTTTCACTAAATATGGATTAATCTCAAGAAAATCATATTTATAGTTGAATTATATATAAATTGACCAATATGATGAAAGAAGAAGGGAAATTTGTTCTAAATGTCATCTAGAAAACAGGTGAAAAAGGAGGTGAAATTTGAAACTTTTTAGTCAAATATCTTCATGATAAATATCATGATAAATGCAGTTCCACCTTTTTAAGTAGAGTGTTTGTAGTTCATGTTAATATGATAGTTGCAATTTGATCATTGGAATGAATTCTGCATTCATTGCCACGAGGCAAATGACCGTTTTCAGAAAGAAATTTGAGAATAAGAATTAAGAATGCCCGTTTATTATGAACATTCAAGAAAATTTCCTCGAATTCAGAGATGATTTTGTTGACTATAATATACGAATACAAAACTAATTGCACAATCGAAGCTTTTCTATTTTTCCTCTACTTATACTTTTAATGAGAGAGTAATTGTCTTCTATTATTAATTCATCATTATAAATTGAGCTCTGTTTACTACCGAATTTAGATGGAGTAAAATCCTCGCGGTGAATTGCATATGCCCACAGTTTCGATAGCTCCTCGTCCAACGGGAAACTAAAAACAGAATAGAATAGAATAGAATAGAATAGAATGCTTTATTTTACCACATTACGTACACTGTACATTTGTAGCAGGTCAAGGAGTTAGAACTATAAAAAAATAGAACTGTATATAAAATGAAGTTAAAAGACAAACAATAAAAAGTTAAAAGACAAACAATATGAAAATATTGATACAGATTAAAAATAGAGAAAAGTATGAAAAAAATATAAAATACAGGTACATATTGATAGCGACTTCATCCATATTAATACTCAAGCCAGTAGTTTCTCATGATCAGTCTGAAAATATTCTTCCAGTGAGTAGAAGCAATGTTCCAGGAGATATTGCTTTATTTTATTCTTAAATTTGATGAAACAGAGATTTTTAATTCTATGAGGCAATATATTGTAAATGTTGTAATCCAAAGAGTTTTTCTGAGATACAGTAAGTCTAAACCGAGGATTACGTATCTTCATCGCATGTCTGGTGTCATGATCATGAATATCACTATGAGTTCTGAGTATGTTAGATTGTTTGTGAACCTCTTGAAGTGTGTTATAGATGAACAAAGTTGGTAATGGCATGATGCCATATGCGATGAATAAGGTTTTACAGTGTTCTCTATAATATGCATTGGCCATTACTCTTATTGCCTTTTTCTGCTGGCGAAATATGATAGGAGCATGAGAAGAGTTTCCCCATAATAAAACGCCATAATTTATATGACTGTGAAATAAAGAAAAGTAGACAGTTTTTAAAGTTACAGAATTTATGATACTCCTGAGTTGTCTGAGGAGAAATATGGTGCTTGACAGTTTTTTCTGTAAAAGCTCAATATGATGGTGCCAATTTAGTTTCTCATCAAGCGTGATCCCTAGTAAATTCACGCTATTACCTTTATGGCAAGAGGGATGCGTTGACATTACAATTTTTTGAGTTTTATTGGTATTTAACTTCAGTTTATTATATGAAACATGAACTTTTGAACCACCCACATAATTCCCCCGACAAAAGGGAACACAACACTTGAAAGGCATTGTTATTTCGCAGATCACAACACAAAATATTTCACAAAACAGTAATTTTTCCGCCAATTATTTTGAGGAATAAACAACAACAAAATTCGGGACCGTTTCAAAAACATACGTGAATCACCGATGAATTAACACGAACTGACGCGTTAGTCGACAATAAGCGATAAAATAAAACACTGGCCTCTCTTGGTGACGTCACGAGCTGTTTACGTCAGAGTCTGCTGGCCTTGTTGTATCGGTGGTAACGGTTGTGTCGATGCGTTCTGTCAATCTATCCTTATTTATCATGGAATGTTTCTTTACATCTTTATCTCAATTTGAGGGTACATCATCTTATTTATGTGAAAGCACAGCTTTGAAAGTGTGTTATCAACTTATTATTTTATGAAAAATATGATATTTAATTTTCGATGTCGTTCAAACTCAGAGATGCCCACTGGGAGATGTTAATGACATTTTAAGAACAGCACAGAACATGATGGCCACGGTCACAGGATGATTTTCAGAGTCTAATGGTCGTGACATCAATAAAATACTGTGAATCAGGCTAAGCCAAGCCAAGTAGATTCATCGGAGCCCATCGTGATCGGAGCTTGGCGAGTGAACTCCTGAGAAATGACATAAGGTAGCATCCTTGGTATGATCCATGATCCAGTTGCATAAAACCTCATGAACAGAATATTTGAGATTCTCTGTATACCCATATATGTACTATTTCTATATATGGCCCATCGCCTATACGATATCCCAACAAAAATGGGACCAAAATGAGAGGTTCTTTTTGAATCTATAAGAAGGGCGGAAAGTGAAGGGTTGACAATTTTCGTATTATTTTTTCCCTACGTCGGCATCAACGCGTATTGGTCGATTTTGTTACCTATAGAGGCAGAAGTTGGTCCCGCTTTGAGGACAGCAACAAATATGATTAGTAGATATATGTGTATACCTATTTCCTTCATACTTTGACCTATCCACTAATAAATCCACTAATAAGTATATATAATAACCTTTTGTTCAATCTAAATAGCTCAATTAATCATATTTCAGGTAATGAAAGAGGATTAGGTAGATACCTACTTCTGTTTCATAGTTCTTGTCGTCGACGAATTATATCC